TGAGAAAGCAACTATTGCTAATATTAATTTAATAAATGTATTATCTGGATCAAGTTGATCAATAACACGTTTGATGAAGACTGTTGCAGATGGTTGAAATATTATTTCAGCAGATTCATAAAAAGATGGATAGTTAAATAATTTGTATTGACGTAATGTGAATATACTACCAATAGTCGATGTATATTCTACTGTAGTTCGAAGTAATGTTATACGATCATGACGAGATAATGAAAGAAAATCACGATTTTTCTCGAAAGCAATTTGAACATTACCCATCATTGATGTAAAAAAATCATAAACTAATGAATATTTGAATCGTAACTTGAGAGGTAATCGATTTTGTTCTTCTATAAAACTTTCGACAAGTGTATATCCACTATTTTCATCGAAACAATGAACTAAATTTGATAAAAGATTCCATTGATCAAGAGTTATCGTTGATTGATCAGATTGTAAGAGATTTGATGTTGTAATCTAAAAAAAGCGACAAGGAAATGTAATTTTTAATAGAAAATGTCTTACGAATTCACAAAATCTGACAAAAGATCTTGGAAACATCTTGAAGACTTCAGAATTTGTTTTCTGTACATAAACAGTGCTAATCTATATAGTATCCGTAAGAAATTATTATTTAGACATTGAGACGTTCAAATAAACAATAAAAATAGGTTTTGTATATATTTATTTAAGTCGATATTTTTGAATCATTTAGATGAACTGATAGATTGAAATGACTTCGTTCTCATTCTAATGGAAATAGTTCAGTGCAAGCGCATTTAGAGTCCCTCGAATTCGTCTTTGAACTTGGTCGAGTCAATACTCAGGTCTAAAACCAACTCCATGAATCATACTCTAAAAGTAACAGTCAACTATGGCTTGATTATTATGAAATTATCACCGAGATTATCTGAGAAATGTGTAAAAGATGTTCATAGCAGAATTTTTAAAGTCTATTGAACTTAGACTAAAGCATATTCTTGAAATAAGAAGTACAGCTTGGTTCTATGCCCCATAATGTTGAATTTAACAGACTTAACGGTATCTCACCGGTTCAGGATTTTGTTGCTTTTTTATTGTTACGAAAGTTGTTAATGTTGATTGAGTTGAATCAGCAATCGATGTTCTTTTCTCATGTTTATTATTTTTTTCGTATCGATGTGATCGAATCATTTCAATAGACATTCCATTCATAAAACATTTTGCAAGTCGACATGAGGTGCATATATGACGATTATTTATGTTTATATC